GTGCAACTGGCATGATTTCAGCCTTTCTGTCTATTAATCCTGCTCTAATCAGAGGGAACCAAATTAAAAGACTGTAAGGAGAAGCTACGTACAGCACAGCTGAAATACTAATTTCATTAATCTGCTAAGTACTTTGTTGATTAATCTTTTTTTGCAAGTAAAGTAATAGTAATTAAAAAAAAAGATGTTTATGTTGCCAATTTTTCCTTAAAAACAGTTCATGAACCCATATTGTTGGAATTGGTATCAAATGAGACACAACTGAGAGCAGATTTTTAAATATTTTATGAGGAAATAAAGTAAATTGTGGATTTTGTCTGTTATCTAATCAATTAAAGGACAGATAAGCTTTGATTTCTACCGTATATGCCTGTTTTATCTCTCACTTAATGCTGACAATCCTTTCTTAATAATTTTTGCCAATAAATTGATTTCTTGGCCCCCTGAGCCAAATGTGAAACTGCCAGATTTCTTTTAAAAGCTGCACAAGACAAACAAAAGCAGGAACATTATCTAAACAGCAAATGTCTTACCCACAGTTACCTGAATAGGTTCAATGCTTTAGTGCTGTTTCGAAGCAGGACTGCAATAAATTGTTTTTATTCTCAGTCAATCTACTGTTTCTTTTAAATTGTTATTAATTTATGAATTCATTTACCTTTTTTAATATTATTTAGTTAATGATCTGTAAACAAAGCAGAGAAAACCAGCTGGAGGAAGGGAATGTGGAGTACCATATATTCCTTAATAAATGACTTAATTATGCATAAATGATCAGTGTGCTTTATTTGCTAATTAGCGTATGGTTGCTCAACTAATTATCACCATCGATTGCCCATTTTTACGGAGTTGGAAAATGTCCTCGTCTGTGAGTGAGCGCATGCATCAGCTAGTGTGAGGGTGTCTTTGATGGGTGTTTGATGGTAGCGTGTGAGTGAGTGTTTGCACAGAGCCGGGTGGGTACAGCAGGCTGGTGGAGGTGCTCGAGTTACATAATCCCAAACTCCCTCCCGCGCAGTGACAGCGAAGAGGGGGGCAGCTGCCGAATCCCATCTTGTCATCTCCGCTCTCCTTCTCCTCTTCCTCTCCTCTTTCCTGTTTGATCCAGCAATAAGCGCCCGCTGTCCTCCTGCTTCCTGCTATCATCCACACATCAGCTTCAGGCACTTCAGTCCACCTATCTGGATCGAACTATCACGGACACGACACCAACCTTTTCCACAGAATTTGTTCTAATTTAGTACCTCAGACGTGATTAAAAAGACGGCTCAAACTATGGTCCAGCAGCAGTTTTCGGGCTTCTCGTTGGCGTGCTGGTGTAGTGTCGCGCATACTGATGACACCTCAAACCCCTCGCAGATGCTGTTTTTGTGAAAAACAATTATCCCCCTCCCCACACGCACACATCTTTGATGCTATAACAGGGGAAGCTGAAGCCAAACTGTTGGGGCCATCTGAAACACGTGAATTTTGTGCATATGGCTGCCATGAAACGCTGCCACAGTGCTGTCGATGGCCGCCATTTGGCTCGGCGAGGCCCAGCAGGGAAGGCTGTTGAGTAAAATATGAATTTTTACAAGCTGGCAGTGACGGGAGGAGGGTGTATGAGCCTGGTGGTTATTTGTTGGCCGACAGGCAGAGGGACTCTCAGCGGGGATCCAGTGCCAGGGAGATGCAGTTGTGATGCTGCTCGATGTAGGGTGAAATGTAATATTATTATTATCCATTAGGAGGGTGGTGATCTAGTTTGACATAGGTTGTTTTTTTTAGAAGTTTAGATTATGTTTAGATCTGCAGCTCATCTGTTTGGATGGGCTTCCCCTCCCAACACTCCTCGCCCCCCCCCCCTAAGTGTAAGGTTGTAAACTCACATCAGGTGGGCGCTGGTATCGAAAGGTCTGAACGTTTTCTTTGCCGTTACGTCATCTTCGCCCTGGGGGTAACGGTAATCATATTTCCTAGTCATCGTAGACAGCACAGAGAGAGGAGTGGGCTGGAAGATGTCGAGCGGGGGGGGCATTAAAGATTCGTGGTTGTCATGACAGCAACCAGAGAGGAGACTGACTCCCTCGCCCACTAACCTCAGCCTAATTGACATGCACCCGCCCACTCAGGCCTCTCCAAGCCTGATCATATCCTGAGATATCACGTTTTATAGATCAAAGATCAGGTCGGCACCCTCGAGACTGAGGGCGAACTTCCATCTGCGTTTCGCTGCTGTCCTGTTGTTTCATTTGTAGGAGAACAGAACAACCTGTACATCTCTTTACAGTCATCAGCTGCACATCAGACTCCTTTGTGATTTAAGTAAGACAAAGTACCACTGCATGTTTAAGTTGCATATCGACCCATGGTCCACTAAATTATTAAAGCCTCTTGCTTACAGTACAGTCTACTTAAGCGCACCAAACTCCCAGGGCAGCAGCCCAATGTGCTTTGTAAGGGCGATGATCTTTTTTTTTGTGTTTAATGGTTAGAAGGAGCCAAAAGAATTGGAGTATGTACAGCACAGTGTTTTTAAAAAGCAGTTCAAGGATCCTACAAATAGTTTTTCTTCCCTTCTATGCTCTGTTTAAAACCACACTTGTAAGCAGTTGCCCTATAAGTGGCTCTGTCTGACTTTAATGTCCTCAAACTGTGTTGTTTTTTTTGTTTTTCTCGCTTCCTTCAAATTTTGTGGTCATGTTACACAATGCAGCGCTCTGCTTTTCATCACCACTAACATTTTGTATGGATTCCTTTGTGCTGTTTTTGCTGAGGTTATGGTACAATTACACCAATTTTTTCTTTTAGATGGCACTGGGATGGTCGCAAAGCCCACATGTAGCCCTCACCCACACTACCTCAGCAACCCCAGCAGCCATAATGAGGCAAATATGAGCAACCCCATAATAATTCCCTGCTTGTTTAATAATTCGGGCGCTCTGAGTAGAATATTTTTCTCGTCCTTATTGAGGGTAGTGCTGCCTCGCCCCTTTCCATTCACCCACGCTGGGGTTTCCTGATCTTTTCCATGCTCCAGAGCTCGACTTCATGGATGTCATTCAGCGCGAGGGGGTCGTGTTTGCAGCTTGTTATGTAAGAAGAAGAATATGCTCTATGATAGCTTACACTCCGCTCTCCTAACATACACAACCACTAATAAGATTTTTGGTGGGCAGTAATCACTTACGCCCTTGTTTGCCAGCGTGCTCTAATACGAGACATATGTATATCACGCTGTGTAGACTATGAAGCATATGCTCTCTGAAGTCTACCTCGGAACCTCCCGACCACTAAAATAAGCATTTATTATCTCAAATTGGTTTGCAGCAGCACAGATATTTACACGAGGAAGCCGTGAGGGTGAGCCGTGGTAGCCATGACTCTGAGGGAAGCTTCGGGATCCTCTCTGTTTGGAGAAATACCGTGCCGCCTTCGTTGCCAGGAAAACACAGCAGTTCCTTTGCCTTTGGATGCCAAGGGCGTTCACGTGGTCATTTATATGTAAACAAATGCGTACCTCTGTCTTTGCTCTCTTTCTATCTACCATTTTGTTAAAGATGTGCAGATAAACAAACGCTCTACCCTCTCCTCGTGTGCCTCGGTTGCTGTGTTTCTGCTGGCAGGGTGCCTTTGTTTTGCTCTACAGCAGCGCAGGGGTGGGGACGCATTATGTAATTCGCGGCGTGTGCCTGGGATATAGAGAGGGAGAGAGACTGAGAAGGGTGTGACTATAGTAACACAAACACACAGAGATGATGACATAATCCCTGACCTCCTCTGTGGCCTGCTTGTGTCCTCCCCTCTGAGTATTCCCGGCATTGGACTGTAAATTTGGGAACCACAGAGGAACATCCTCTTTCACTCTCCATTAACATTTGTGCAAAATTACTCCCACCGGTCCTCAAGGACTCCGCTTGCACTCTAATGTCAGAAGCAGGGCATAGAAGTCTTTGTGGGTTTGTTTTTCCATCCAGTTTCCATGGATGGTTTGGGAAGGCACGGACATGCTACAGTAGTGGCCAGGCTCTGGTATTGTGTGTTGCATGCAGAATTTTACATTTTGCTTATAGAAGCCTGCAAAAAAATAAAGTCAAATTACTGCAGTATCCAGGAAACAAAGCTGTCAAAACAGCTCAGAATATGTTTTGCATAATAGAAAGTGAGGAAAAGAAGAAAGAGCTGCTAATGGTCCATCAGATTTCCTGAAAGTAATGAGTTTGCACTTTCATTTTTCATAGGCATTTTTTTATTGTTATGGTTTTAATGAATAAATATGTCTGCCTGTTGCTTGAACTTGGAGAAGAAGTCAGAGTTTTGAACATAAATTAGAAATAATGAGTGCTGGACACGTACTTTCATATTCTGTATCCTTCCTCACTCCCACAGCCAGTGGCAGTGACCCTGCAGGAGCAGGAAACCAGAGGATTTAACTCATCTCTTTGCCTCTATTCCACTGTGTATAACCCACTCACGCCACAACGAGCCAGTCTATATAATTAATATTGATTACAGTACTGCGTCACCTCCCACACATCCATATGGGTCATACAAAAACAGGTTCTTAACCTGCTGGATGTGGGTGATATGCTGTGACATATAGAAGAGCTGAATTGAATACTCTTGTGCCCCCCGAGGGGCGTAAACTGCAGTTAAATATGCAAATTGATCTGTGGGTTAGAGTGCACACTGTGATAATGACAACGAACCCACCTTATAGACTTGTTTGCAAACTTAATCTGTGTATCAAACACCCTCGTACTGCTCTTTTCTGTAAGTGGGTGTGCCTGCGTGATTGTGTTTTTGTGTGCGCCCCCCTTCATATGATTACAGTAGTTTCCATAATGGAATAGTGCACTCTCTCTGCTATGGAAGAATGTCTGTTTTTCATTTGAAAGACCTTCATCCTGCTGCAGCCGTGTGGGAAGCATCCCCAGAATCATTAGTTCATTCTGCACTGCCTCGACTGTCGAGCGCGCTGCTCTGTGCTGAAAATGGTTTCTGTTCTTGTGTTGCAGATAAAATCGAGGAGGCACAGAAAGAGCTTAAAGACCCCAAAGGCTCACAGAAAGGTAAGAGATCTCTTATCAAAACTTGCAATTTCCAGAGAACTGCGAGGAAAGCTTTCTCTTTCATTTTTAATGTAGAATATCTTCTCTTTCACCACCTCAGGGTTTAAAGTGAATTAAATAAGTAATTTAACCTAAAATAAAGCACAAGCAAAAAGCGCAAAATAAATGCAAAATCACTGATGTGGAAAGGAAAGATTATTACATCGGTCACATCAGTGAGGCACGGCAAGCACATTTCACCCAGAGGAAACCCAAAGTGCTTCAGGGTACGCGGGCAAAAACACTGAAAAAAATTATAATAAAAAAGTAAAAACAACAGTGATTTACTGTTATTAATATGAATAAATCCTGCATTTAAACAGGCAGACTCATTAAGGTTTTTATGGTAATAAAGTGCTTGAACTCGTGTTTATTGTAAGAGGTACAGCTAATGTTAGAAAGGCTTGCAAACCTGATATAAGTACTGTATTTAAAGGTAAAAAGAGAGCAGAGGTAACTGCCCTTATAAACATCATGTGTGGGGGTTTTTTTTATTTTTATTTTAGTGAAGACTGATGCATTTATCATGTCTTCTGAGCATGAAAGCAGATATTAGTGGAAGATGTTTATGTGGTTGCACAAAAATGTCCCATTTAAATTTTAAGGTTTTCTTTAAAAGCAATTAGATATTTAACTACCAAGTACTGTAGAGCTGTTGATGCTTCCAGGTTGGTGTGAACTTGTAATTTCTACCTGGTCTCCAGTGAAATGTGTGATTTATACTTCTGCAGTGAATCTATGTAGAGCCTACGACGTAGCCTTTCACAGGTGTGTGACGCTGTTGCCAAATTCAGCCCCTAAACCACGATGGGCTGCCAGCGATCTGGTGGATGGAGTTTATTTATTTTTTTGTTCACGATCCATTCATAATCATGTGATAATGCTGCAGTTAAATTGAAATAAAAAAATATATATATATATTATTATCAGTCTCCTCTAAAGATGAACCCAGCAAATAAATTGGAGAATTGCGTCATCTACTAATCAGAAGATCAGGGTTTGATCCACAGCTCCTCTAGCCCTCTGTGTTGATTTTCTTTGGGCAAGATGGTGTTAGAGCGTGTACGTAAAGGGTAAAAAGGGCTCAACGGCAAAGAAGAGTGCGCTGTGTGCGCCTAAGAGGACTTTAAGTGCTCAGTAAGAGTAGAAAAGCACTATATAAGGACCAGTGTATTTACCATAAAATGTTTCCTTTGTTTTGATCTGTGTGCATAAATTCTCAGTAATCTTTCCATTATGCCCCGACTGAACACATGAACAGTTTCTTTGATAAGTGGACTGTTGTGTAACTACATTGAAATAGAAAAGCCAGTTTGACTAAGCTATGCCTGAGAATCAGCCTGCTGTGCATTTTCCTTTTAATGACACTCAACCTTTGATTGAATCATCCACTGTAAATGGGATTGGGTGGTGATTCTAAACAGGGTATAAATATCTCAGTCCACTTCTTAAAGTACAGCAGGTAGTTTTATCACTGCCAGCAAGTCAAAGGGTAATCTCTTTGGCAACCTGCCGTATGAAGAAGTATGTCAATTGCCCTTGGTCTAGATAACTAAAGGATCGCCTTTATTTTACATTAAATATATTATTTTAATGCAGTTACAGGAACATAAGAGTGTTTAGAAATGAGGAGAAGGTTAACAAAAAGGGCTTCTTTTATCTCAGTGACTGTTAATGATAGAAAACTTGTGAAGTCATGTCCCTTTGAGAACTAGTTTGTGTAGTTTGGATGAATAAATATTGCCTTTCCCATGTCTTTTAGCTACAGTTTGTACAAAGATTGTTTTTAAGCATCAATTAGAAAAGGTTATTTTAAAAAACAGGGTTTGTTCAGAAGACCTTGTTATATTGATTGCATGGCAGTTTTAAAGCCTCTCTAGTTGCATGGTTGCGTGGAGAATGGATTTACTTATGTAAAGGGAAGCCCTTGAACGAACCCTGAAGTCATCTTGGGAAATACCTACACAGGCCAGGAAACTGTGACAGGCTGTGACACTGCTACTCTTGTGCAACATGCCCATGAAAACACTTGCCTCAGTCATTATTATGGGACACCATTGCATGGGTGTGCCCTTTTTAAAACAGTGCACCTATTATTATAAGAATGCAGCTCAGTAAGCACGCAGATGTACTTTGTTATACGCTAGTTATTTGCACCATTTTCTGATCAGCCGAGCCTTCATAGGTCAACATTTCTTATCAACAAGGGCAAGAAATGACTGTTACTTGCATAATAAAGCGTGGGTCTCTGTGGTATTAGTCACACATCTAACGAGTGCGAGGGCGAAGTATCTTCACTGTAGTATACGTCTATCATTATCTAAATAAAACAAATTATCGATAAGCTGATGGAAAACAAAGTAGGCTGCAGAGAAAGCTTTCACAACTGGAATGTTGAAGCTCTCAAAAAGCTGTTTAAGACATATTTTTATATATAAAAACCACAAATGTTATGTATTCGTTTTACAGTTGGATTAAAATGATAACACATGTACATGTAAATGATTATCTTGCTATGTAACTGTGCAGTATGATCCAGAATAGTGTCACTATTTGTCACTAAATTTGTCACTGGAGATAACACAGCTTATATAGTACAGAATTAATAGTAAAAGTAGTTAATTTATTTAAATAGTGGGAAATAAAGCAAAAACAGAACAGTCAGTAATTTTAATAGACTGCAGTCTACTTGTTTTATTGTTTCCAGTTGGAAGATGGTGCTGGTATTGAGATTAAAGTGTGTTTCAAACATTCTTCATGTGCTATAAAGGGGTAAAACAGAAGCACTGTAGTGTGTGAGCTGTTGATCTTTTTCTTTTCCTGTGTGCATTTTTATTTTAGTTTCATGGAACAAGAAGAGTTAGTTATACGAAAAACATGATTTTCAAAATGGCATTAGAGTTATTTCCTGTGTCCAATAGAGATTACATTTAAACTCATTTTATAAGCCAAGGTTGTCAGCAGTAGAAGTTAATTTTTTCAATAATGTCGTTTGTGCTAACTCCTTGTGGTAGCACTGGAAGAGAGGAGATGAAGGAAATGGTTATTATACCACCTTAATTATTGTTGTCTCTGTCTCCACAGGGCTATCTGACAGCAGTCGAAGAAATGCGGACAGCATAAAGGGTCTTAAGAGGAAGAAGGTTGTTGCAGAGAATCAGCTAAAGAAAATTCCAAAATCTCCAGTGAAGAAGCCCCTGCAGTCAAAAACATCTGCTGAATCTGCTCTCCGAGGATCTTCATCCAAGGAAACTCCACATTCTTGCTCCTCCTCCTCCAACAGTCCTTCCCACAATCTTTCAACATCGCCCAGTGGAGAAAGTGACCAAAAGTATGCTCAACCAGTTGCAGCGTCCCCTGACAAGGGGTCATTTTCTGCTGAGGCTGAAAGGCTGAAGCAGGAAAAATCATCTTCTAGGCCACCATCGCTTGAGCTCACAGCTGGTGAGGAGGACACTCTGATTACTGCTAAAGGAACTCTAAAGCCTAAAGAAAGCAAAAGCCAAGACTCCAGCTTTGACGGAGATCCTTACGCCAACAGCGCTCCACTTGATGTTCTACTTAAGGCCATGGAGCCTGATTTTAGCACACTGGCTGAGAGGAAAGCCTCGATGCAGGTCACAGCCATCGGTAAAGCCAGTGGTGAAATCACAGCAATGCCAGGTGTCAATGTTGGTCTCCAGGCCCAACCTTCCCATATGCAGACCTATTATATTGACAAACAGGGCAATGTCATTGGCATTGCAGCGCCAATACAGGGAAATCTACAAACAGCTCCACAGGGTACCGCTCCCCTTGCTACACCGCATTTTATGCCCGTTGCTTCCAATCCAGAAAATCCTAGCTTGCACATAAACTTTAATGCAGGACCATCTACTATAACTCATGCTCCTGTTCCCTCTGGCTCAAGTGCTTTGCCACAAAGCCAACCACCAGTTGTGCACACATGCCAGTCCCTCTCAGCCAGTGTTCCCAGCAGTATTCAGGTCCCAGTTACACCAGGCAGCAACCAAGTTCAGATGACCACTGTTATGACCTTTGGTGCTGAACAGGTTTCCAAGGACCAAAAGCCTAAAAAACCAGGAAAGTACGTTTGTGAATACTGCAACCGGGCATGTGCAAAACCCAGTGTGCTGCTCAAACACATCAGGTCTCACACAGGAGAAAGGCCATATCCCTGTGTTACTTGTGGCTTCTCATTCAAAACCAAGAGCAACTTGTACAAACACAAGAAATCACATGCTCATGCCATAAAACTGGGTCTCATTGCACGCTCCGAATCAGGAGGTGGATCGCTATCTCAAGAGTCTGACAAAACCACAGGAACACATTCAGAGGCAGAGGAGAGTGGAGACAGCGATGAGGAAGGTAGCACTGCCGACTTAGACCCCGACTCGTCACAGAGCAGCGTGGCTGCTTTGTCTGAAAACAGTTTACTGAGTGCAGGTGGAACACAAGCCAACCATGGGGAAGTGGACTTATCCGGTGTTTCTGACTCAGTCAAATCATCCCCAGCTCAGAGAGCTCACGAGCCTAAAGTAACAGCTGCACTCCCAAAAGTTGTTGTGTACCCAGTTAATGTCTCCCCTCTGAGAGCGGATAGTCCGAGAGTTACAGGAGCAGCACCTGAGCAAGCTGCTGCACAACGACAACGAGACTTCCAGACTGCCAGTCTGAGATCGAATATCACAGTCTTGTCATCGCTGAAAGGGGTGGATGGTGCAAATCCCTTACTAGAAACCGTCAGTGAAGATGAAGACCAACACTGCAAGTCTCCACTGTTAAGTGGGCACGCTCAGCTTCAGCGGCAACAAGCAACAGACTTTTCTCAGCAGCAACAGCCTAAGTGTCTACTTAGTCCACGTAGTTTGGGAAGCACTGATTCAGGTTACTTCTCACGTTCTGAAAGTGCTGATCAGGCCATGAGTCCACCCAGTCCATTTGTAAAGATAACTCCACCAGTAGATGTTGATATTGCCAAGAACACTCTTCCTAATGTCCCTCCTGTGGTTGCCTCAGTCATGCATGTAGCACATGAGCAGAGACCAAGGGCGATAGACGGACAAATGCGTCCACGATTAGAAGCCAGTGCACGCTCTTTAGAAGAACGAATTACAAAGTTGATATCTGATAATGAGATAGTAGTTGACAACAAGCAGCTGGACAGTGTAAAGCCAAGGAGGACCTCTCTTTCAAGGAGAGGTAGCATAGACTCCCCGAAGTCATACATATTTAAAGACTCTTTTCAGTTTGATCTTAAACCAATGGGAAGAAGGTCAAGTTCCAGCTCAGACATCCCCAAATCTCCATTCACTCCCACAGATAAATCAAAGCCAGTATTTCTTCTTTCTGTACCCCCCCAATACCCACCGATGGATTGTTTGCCAATAACAAGGAGCAACTCTATGCCTACTACACCAGGACACACTGCTCTTCCCCTTAATGTTGCTGCTGTCCCCCATCCTTTGCGCAGCAGCCAGTCATGTGATGACAAAATTAGTGCACTAAATGACGATGTATTTTCATCAGCTCCATCAACCCCAAATCCTGCAATGCATTCTCGTACCTTGGTCAGACAAATAGCAGTAGAGGACTTTTCCCACAATGAGAGACATGGTCTCCCCTCTGTTCGCTCCATGGATGAGGGCTATATCGGACAAAGCAATTCTGCAGAGCACATGCAAAGAAGCAGGTCTTTTGAACACAGTCAGGAAAGAAACAGAAAACCTCAGCAGACTAAAGGCACGATGTATGAGTGTGAAACGTGTCGTAACCGGTACAGAAAGTTAGAGAACTTTGAAACTCACAAGAAATTCTACTGCTCTGAACTTCATGGTCCAAAAAACAAACCAATGGCTGCCAAAGAAACTGACCAAGATGTTTTTCATGTTAATTTACAGCAGCCCATAGCAGGAGCAACCACAACTGGGCCAGGGGTACTTGATCAACAGACATCATTCAGGAAGAGGAGGAAAATGAAAAGTGTTGGTGATGAGGATGATCAGTCTCCAACTGATACTAGTGCACCTTGCTCTGTTAGTTTTGAGCTACCAGCAGTTCTGGCAAACAGGAATTTTCCTCACCATGCTGTAATAGTAGATATACAACCCAAAATCAACCAGCCAAAGCTACCTCAGATACAGCTTGTAGCAAGAGGCATTAATTCTCCAGATTCCAGACTTTCGCCAATACGAGAGACCCAGATCAGTACCCCTGCTAAAGGAGACTTGCAAAGGCAAGGCAGCGGCACTTCAGTCATCAGACACACCAACTCTCTCAGCAGACCCAATTCCTTTGAGACAGAGTCTATTGACAGGATCTCTCCTGTTGATAGCATGGAGAAGGATCCCCTGAACAAACCCAAATCAGATGCGGCATCTGGTGTCTTAACTGATGGTTACCATGAAACCATATCAAAACCTAAGAGCACGGATTATGGAAAACAAAGAAAGGAGCAGTGCACTGATAGGACAGTGGCACCAGTTGGTGAACACTCTACTCCTATCCATCAGTCCCGCCTTGTTCGTCAAAATAACATTCAAGTTCCTGAGATTTTAGTCACAGTGGAACCGGACAGAGAACATGAAACACAGACTGCTGAACCAGCAGATAAACCTGCAGATCAGTTCAGCTGGCCTCAGAGAAGTGAGAGTTTGTCAAAGCTCCCAGCAGAGAAACTTCCCCCTAAGAAGAAGAGAATTCGTCTGGCTCAAATGGATCATTCATCGGGCGAATCCAGTTTTGAATCGAGCCTCTCACGAAGCCTCAGCAGGGACAGCAGTCTTTCTCGCGGCTCCAGCATCTCAGCCTCTTTTGACAGAGATGAGCCATCTAGATCGGAGAGTCCTTCTCGAGGAGAGTGCGTTGGTAAAATGCCCGAGACTCAGTGTTTGCCAACAGCTTTCAACACCCTTGGTGTGCCTGGAATGATGAGGCGTGCCGCATCTGAACAGATCACTTGTACTCAACCCTCTGTGGAGATTTCATGTGACTACCGCAGCAAATCCTTTGACTCTGGCAATGTATCTCCAAGTAGATCTCTGTCACCTGCTGGACAGCCAAAAAGTGGACAACTCTCCCAACTTTCCCAGGTGCCACTAATTGAAAGGAGACGGGGGCCATTAGTTCGGCAGATGTCTTTAAAAATTGGACCTGAAAGTCAGCAACCTGTTAGGAAAGCTGCCGCACCTTTAGATAAACCTCTCATTGGAAATGTTAGCTCTTTCACTCAGAACAGACCCCAGCAGATTCACATTACTAGCAGGCGCGCAGTGCCTCAGCCCTTTGTCCTGCACACAGAAGAACCACCACTGCAAAAGAATGAGCAAATGGTGCAGAGCATTAATTTGGGTAGCCCAACTCAGCAGCCTCAAGTCCATGGCCTTCCACATCCTTGGCACCAAACATCAAGGGTTCAAATTTGCCAAAAGATACAACAACCACTAAACCAGATCTTGGTTTGTCGAGAGAACATCCAAAACAAACCAGCTGACACAGAAGAAAAAAAACATTTTGTGCCCAAATACCAACTACAGTGTCCAGCTCTGAGAACAGGCCAAACCTTTTCCTTCTCTGGCACACAGGGAGCTCAGATAGCCCTGCCAGTTTTAACAATACCAATTGCCAATCCGATTTTGAGCATTTCAAAATCATCTGATGTAATCCAAAATTTGTATGTAGCTCAACCCAGTCAACAGGCTGCAGACAGTAAAACACAGACGGTTGTTTTGTCGGGTGAACAGCGAAGAGAATCATTTGATCAAACCCAAGGAAGTGCTGTACCACTACCACAGATCTTGATAACTCACGAGCAGATCCACCCTGCTCACTCTGTGCCCAATAAAAATAGTCTGTCGTCGACTCCCAGTGTGGAAAGTGATTTTCGTGTTGTAACAACTGCAAAGAAAGATAGGACTCAAGCTCAGACAGGAGGCCCTCATAACCGCACTGTAGAACAAACTCCTCTTGGGTCTTTACATTGCACGCAGAAACTGGCATCAGTAACACTATGCCCGCAGCAGGAACCCACTGCATCAAGCAAACGAATGTTGTCACCTGCAAACAGCTTGGACATCTACATGGAAAAGCACCAAAAACGAGCTAAAGATGAGCATGGTGTGGCCTGCCTCACCGATGGACGATCAGTCAATTATCTTAATTCCAAGATGTCAGAGGTGACCCGACAACGGAAGCTGACACTCGTTAGGCAGGTGTGCACAACTGAACCAGTGGACAGTCCCATTGAGACGGAGGCCCCACCTCTGCCCCAGGTTAAGTCAGATGGGGAGAAGGACTCAGAGGCTACTGATGATGTTAAACCTATGTCACCTGATGGTGCTGGGATAGAAAAAGATACAATAACTGTTATTCATGAAGAGACAGGCCCTATCCTGAATACTACACTTGGTAGCCAGGGAACCTCCATGCCAGCCAACAACAATCTGAAGCCTCAAGAAAAAGCTGAGGAACAGAGGTGGACTCCAGCCAAATCCCCAATTAGGCCCTCCAGTTTCCACGGTGGTCAAGTGAAATTGACCACATCTGTGTCTGTGGTTAACACAAAAGACAGCCACCGCCTGTCTTTCCCCAGCCTGAAGACCACCACCACTTTCACATGGTGTTTTTTGATGAAAAGGAAACCTCTCCATGTTCAACAGACCGACCTGAAGACTTCAGCATACGCTACCTGGACAGCCAAACCCAACAACCCTAACCCACTGGGGTTGCCTACCAAGGTGGTCATGTCTTTGTTTGACTCCAAGCAGAGCTCCAAGAAAATACACTACACATCAGCCATAAAAACAAGTGGGAAATCGGACATCTTGTCTTACTCAGGCAAGCTGAAGGATGTCATGCCCAGGGTAAGACTAACTTTCTGCAAAGTCTGAAATATCATAATGTTGTAATGATGACTTGTTTCTTGAGTCACATCCAAAAATATCATCTTTTTCCTGCAGTTGCCAGTAACCCAAAAGTCTGTATCAGTTGAAACCAAAAGTAAAGTGCAGCCAGAGACTCAAGCCAGCAACGATTCAGACAAGGACTTGGTCACTACAACAGAACCGAGGCGAATCAAAATATTTGATGGCGGGTATGAAACAGAACAATCTGATTATATTCAAAATGTTAGCAACATTATGTTAGATTTTGTGCTCATGGTTACATTTCAAACCCACAGGTACAAATCTAACGAGGAGTATGTTTATGTACGTGGCCGTGGGCGAGGTAAATACATCTGTGAGGAATGTGGGATTCGCTGCAAGAAGCCGAGCATGCTGCGCAAACACATCCGTACTCACTCTGATGTCCGGCCGTACCATTGTGTCCACTGCAATTTCTCCTTTAAGACGAAAGGTGAGTGTTAAAGCCATGTGATTATAGTTCGTACAATGCAGCTGAATAAGTCCCTTTTAAATGCAGTACATGCATGTATGATTTTGCATTTGCCTTGTCTTTTGATAATTAGTGCAGCCTCGTATAAACAGGAACAAATGTAGTTCTGTTAATGTCTTTAAAAGTTATAGCTCTTTCTCACGCCTGATTTTGCAATATCAAACTCTGTATCTGTAACACACAGGAACTGAAAGAATTTACTCTTTCCTTTTACAAGCTGTGAAATTAAAAATGTTATTCCACCATCTCTTAAACCAAGACAGTATGATTCACCATTCTTTATCGAACTTGCCTACCCACGCGACACTGCAGAACAGTACTTGGTGTCAGCAACCCACGTTCATTTAAAAATGTCTTTATCAGTTACTCACCCTTTACATAGAGCTTTCCCAAAGACCGCATACTCTTACATAAACTCCTTCTGTGCTATTGTTCAAGCTCTACCCACCCGTAAGACCTCATTGCCTCCCTTTTTGTTATAGGCAATCTGACCAAGCACATGAAATCCAAGGCCCACAGTAAGAAGTGCATGGAGATGGGGGTGCCTGACGGTCTAATTGACGATCAGGATGCTGAGGACTCTGGTACGGTGCTTTGCTCCTCGGGGTTTTCCTTGAGGGAATTGCACAAAAGCCATAACTTCTATAAGATGAACAGTTTGTCTGTAAAATATGAGTTTTGTATTACTACATACAGTTGCATATATAATATTGACTTAATTCAGATTTACTTATACAGTCAGCTTTGATTTCTAACAGCAGGATTGCCCTTCTTTTAATAGTTTAATGGCATGAAATATAAAACATGGAGTGTCCCTGCTTGTGCTCTGTTGCTATGTCGATCAATGGCTTTGCCACAGTCTAATTAGAAATTCTAAATGCAGCTTCTTCCTCTTAACTCAAAGCGCATGTGGGCGACATGCACAGCGTTTAGAAAGAGGAAATTGCTGCATCTAATTTTAGAAAAAAAGAGAGGGAGAGAGAGGCTGCCTGAAAACATTCTGTGGTCCAAGTCTCTAACAGCTTATTTGTTTTTCCTCCTCTGCCTGTGATGGAGCTCAGGGGCGTATGGTGGTGTAGGGTGTGAAACACTGCAGCAGCAGTACAAAACATCCACGAGTAGCGGGATTTTCAGTGCTGTTTTTTCTCACTTTAAGAAAGAAATCTTGGATGATAATCAAAGTTATTCAGTGAATGAGTTTTTTTTCTAGCTGTGATGACGTGTAAGTACAGCAGATTTCAGAGACAAGGATTCAATTTTTCTTCTCACGTATTTCCTCGGCAGGAGACCGCAGTCAGGTGAGCAGTGCTGACCGCCAAGATTCAGATGGAGATGACTCCGATGGTCCTGATGATGAGGAGAATGATGACAACGAGGAGGAAGAGGAGGACAGCCAGGCAGAGTCGGGACTCTCTACCAATCCTTCTGTGTCTGCAAGCCCGCAGCACATCTCTTCCAAAGAGGCTGACGTCCCTCCTAGCGCACTCCTAGCCCAGATGTCGATCAGCTCCATCTCCCTCCCTCTGTCCCAGCCTCCAGTTCCCGAATCCCACACAACATACTCCGAATCTGTCCCCATGATGAGCCCCGTGTTCCTGAGCAAGCATTCGGGGTCCTGCTGCAGTCAAATGGCTTTCCTTCACTCTCCTCCACCTGTTGCCACCACATCAGAGTCCTACACCTCAGACACAGAGTCGGTGCACATGATGAGCCCAGTGTCACCCTGCAGGCAGATGTCCATCGACTACCCAGACTTTGATGTGCCCCCTAGTCCCCCAGTGCAAGGCAAGGGCTCCAAAATAGGCCAGGTGAGACCCTTATTTTCTCCATGTGTCCCCCTCCATCCCTCCCTGTCTGCTTCCCTTCTTTCCTATCCATACCCTTACTTTGACTCCTGCATGCAAGGCACTTCCACAAAACTCCTCTGAATTCTCTGAGCAAAGGTGAATAATCCTATAGGTCTACTGGACTCATCCAGATATCTTCTAAACTTGGGTTTTGCCAAAATAATGTCAAGAAGTGACGATATTTTTTTTCCTTTCACAGGACACCTCTGTGTCTCCTGCTGTGGCAACCAGTGAGTCAAGTATACCAGTGGACCGGGGCACACAGACTTCCTCCTTTGGTTCTCAAGTTCCTTCACACTTCCCCCTACAGGGTGTATCACAAACACCGGGAGCAGAGACCCAGACTCACCTGTTCAGTCACCTGCCCCTGCACTCTCAGCAGCCGTCTCGCTCCTCTTACAGTATGGTTCCAGTTGGGGGGATCCAGCTGGTCCCTGCTGGCCTGGCGGCTTATTCTACCTTTGTGCCAATCCAGGCAGGCCCCGTCCAGCTCACCATCCCAGCTTTGAGCGTCATTCATCGAAACACGAGCCCGTTGCCAGCTCCCAACACTCCACCCCAAACGGAGAGCTTGCCAACTCAGCCACTTGTGGTCCAGGAACCAATCAGCAGTGTTGTACCCTGCTTCCCTCTAGGGCAGGTTACTGGCCTGCAGGCTCAAACGATCCAGCCAGTGGGTCTGGAAACACTTAACCTCATGGGACTGACCAATACAGGCCTGGCATCCACACAGCTGCTGCCCCAGCAAGGCCTCACCCTCAATGCTGCCCTCGGAGTGCAGGTTTTAACTGCCAACCCCACCTCCCAAAGCGGCACTGGGCCGCAGACACACGTCCCAGGCCTGCAAATAGTAAATATTGCCCTGCCTGCCATCATTCCTTCGCTCAGCCCTCTGTCCACCCTCAGTCCCCTCCCCGGGTCCTCTGAGAGGCAGGGAAGCCCTGAAGCTCTGGGAACACAGCCACCTCATGGTGAACACAGGCTTGGTTCACCACCCACCCCTTTTAAGGTCAGCTCCTCTCCAGAACTGACCTCAGGCAGCAGGGCTAGCCCCAGAGGTAACAGTGGAGCAGAGCTCACACAGACTGTGGCGAGGGATGAACGAGAAAAATCCCTCCAGCAGAATCCATCACCAGCTCCTGAGAGTCAAGCAAGAAGCCCCAAACAGCCTGCAGCTGAAGGAGCTGGTGATCCTGCACCTCTACGACCGCCACCAGTGACCAGCTGGCAGAAGGTAGTTGAAGACTATAACGAGGCCTCCAGTGACGATGAAGACCGACTGGTCATTGCCACCTGAAACCCTCAAGTGGAAACACTTCTTCTCCTTTTGTAATTCTTGTCACTTTGTAAGACTGAAAACACTTTTCAGGGGTTTGTTTCTCAGCAAATCACCTTTCAAAGCACAGATGCTGACATTCATATTGTACGTGCAATCATATGACAGTTATGATGATGATGATGATGATGATGATGACCAATCATTTAATTTTTTCTTTTCCAAATTGTCAGCTCCAGACAGTTTTTTTTCTTTTCTTTTTGTACATGTTGTATAGACAATTGTGCCTTTATGGAGTTTCTTGTTTAGGAATCTGTACATAATTCCTTATAAATTCAGTCAATGCTTGTGTTTAATTCAAAAAAATAAAAAAGAACCATAATACTGGATGATATCAATTTTATTCTGGAGGATTCGTCATTCGTAAATTTATGGAATTATAAATGTTGTACTTGTATATGTACATTTCTATGGATTATCGGGCAATGTTTCTGTGTACAGATGTTGTGTTCAACTATTTATTATAATCCATCTAGTGCCCATTATGACCCATAAGTCCATAGGTATGTGCATTATGGTAGCTTTACATTGCTGTATCAATATTCTTAACTGTATCAGTAAAAAAAATTGTTTATAAACCTTTAAACTGTCTTATACTTGATTGATTAAACACTTACTGCATTAAAAAGGAGGCTATTCGTCCCTCTGAACACCTGCAAACCTCACTCATTTCCAACAGTAAACATCAGTTTACAGGCTGTGCTTTTATATACTGGAAATTGATGGAAATGAGCCAGAAAAACACACTCCTGTCATTAAATGTAGACTTTAGTTTGCTTCTTTAATAAAAGCTACTTTCATCACAGCAGGTAGCTCCACATGTTTGATTTGGCAGATTTATTTATTTATTTAACACCTGATCCCACCGCAGAGGAATTTGGAGCCTTCACGTGTTAGGCAAATGTGTAAACCACTACACTATGGATGTATAGTTAATGAAGCCACATCAGAAATGCTCCAGTTAGTGAAAAATGGATCTTAACGTACACTTTACACTTCATGTTACCCTCATCTTACGGGTGACTCAGTTACATGAATTATTATTGGTCTTCTCAGACTTGTAGCCATTACTAGAGCAAGATTGTCATTAGACAATTTTTGTGTCAGACTTGTGAATCGGTTACAGGTGACAGGTGGAGTGTTTCAGTCTAACAATAAATAAATCAATTACATTTCCTGGAAATACTTTAAAGCTTATGTTTTAAAACAGAACTGGATTTGCAATGATAAGCTTGGTTTTTAGGGTTTTTCGACTTTATTTTAAAACTCGGAAAGTTTTGCAGACCAAACAGGAAAAGATCTGAAAGATGAATTAATGAGCAGCAAACTGTTTGTTACAACTGCAAATAAAATAACCCACTTGCCCAAAGGGATTTCATTACGAAATGAACACATTAAATGCGTGTCATTAATATCTGGTGCCCCAAAGCAATTACATCAAACTGCCATGTGAAGCACACATATTAATCTTAATAGTTTAAACCATGAAAATATGCTCTGCAGAGCCAAAAATGGAGCTTCTTAAATTACAAGTAGGTGGTTATGTTTGTTTTCAGTGTTCAGACTTTAGTTTCTTACCTCTCAGAAAGATGATGTTGCACACGTTTGCTTCAGCACTGTTCTGTGTTCTAACCTTTGCATAGACCTGAGCAGAATGAAAATCAGCATGCTCACTGGGCTGTGTTAAATGATGAAAAAATACTGCAACAATCTTGAACCATAGTTCAATCTTTTTTTTCTTTCCTTTTTTTTAAATTAAATGTATCATATCCTACCACTCTTTAATGATAAACATTCCCTAAATATTGCAATTTGTTGATTTTAACGAGTAGAATTCGATCTAAACTTCGAATTGATTTTATTTTATACAAATAAAACAAAGTGACGATATGGAGAGCTCAAACATGGCAATCTGGCCTCAGTGAGGAAAACTTCCCTGTCGTCTTAAGAGGTTTTCAGTGATAACCTTGTTCTTCACCATTCAGAAAGGTGACTCATCCATCCACACTGAAGACTAATCCTCCCACCCCTCCTCCCTCAGGGCTGGCTGTTGTGGGTGAAGCTATAGCAAAGCAAACAGAGACCCCTAGAGGTCAAGATCTGCTACACTGATGAAGCGAAAGAGCCAAAACAGAAGAAAACCTGGGCTGTTTCTAAAGGCTTAAGCACACCATGCATGATTTAAACTTGAGTGCCAAAATTTTTAATCCAAACCTTACAAATCTGCTCGTGGTGCAGCTCCCCTGCTTTGTTTCTTTCCTGGACAAACTTGTTTTCCCAGCCAGTGGAAACTCTCGAGGCCAGTTTCTGAGTAGGGGCATCAGAGCACGACAGGATACTTTACCTAAGACTTTTCCACTATGGGCATGCACACACATGCAAACAAGACCAATTTTCCACTGCTGCCCACAGCAAAGTGTGTCTGAAAATGAAGTACCCCTCGGTTTCCACGGTTTATTACAACTGGTGATGGAGGGAAACCATCAGATTAAGTAGTCTGCTCCAACTTGTGATCGCAAGGGGTGACGCAAGACAACAGACAATCACAAAATACCCTACACACTACAAACATGTCATATGTGGAATTCGACTACAATTAATCTGTAAATAGGACACTCCATTTGGGCCATACTTATCAGCTGAGATGTTTAATCTCCGGCAAAAATCATGACCAAAGGGACCCCAGAAAAAGCTGTTTGCTTCGGTTATGTAATGTATTGTTTCAGGCAAACAATGCTGTGAAGAACAGAGAGAATGACTCACATTAAACTCACTTCTTTTTTCCAGCTCATGAACAAGCAGACCAACATTTTGATCTGCAGCCGTGCAGATTATACAGAGAGTGGACGACACGAGTCCCAATACGAACACATGCTGGCTTCTTAAGAAAATGCTGGAATATCTTATTAGAAGCTGTGATTAAGTGGATGTAGCGGACAATACTTTGTACTGTTTCACAGTCTTAGATATTGATATGTGTATTGAAGTAGGAAATGAAGGAAGAAACAAATTGCATTGTGCTGTAGAGGTCTAATCGGGTTCATACTCCATTTAAGCTTGCTTTGAGTTTATTTTCCCGTCATGAAACAATACGTGAGAAAGTTTTTCCACTAAAAATGATCATGCTGCTCTGTTTTTCACAGGTTTAGTCAGTGAGTGGGTGTATTCATGGTTAGAGGTTTACAATGAGTGTATATATTCACTCATTGTAAGGTCATTTTAAAAAAGGTACACTTACATTTTTAGACTAATAATTTTTACACTAATAAAAATAAAGTTGAATTTTTTGGGTCTTTTCTTGTGCTTTAATTTGTTGTTTTTTTCCCCCAATGTGTAGATCACAGGTCAGATTTAAGACACTACAATTCTAAAGAAAAGTTGAGATCATTATCTAAGTTCTGGTGCTTTTTTTTGTAGCATTTATTGGGGAGGTGCAGTAAAAAGAGTGCTGGAGACTGAACCAACACTCACTGCTTTAAAGCCTTTGCGCCAGTATGGATGGCACTGCTTTTTTCAAATTGTGTCTTTAAGCTGTTATGCTGCTGTAGTTTGAAAGAACTATTTCACTTGACTGCAGACACAATACGGTGCATTCGTTATCAATAGAATGTAAAATTATTATGCCTGCTATACTTTGACTTGACAGCGTTTTTGCCAGCTGTTATTTTTAAAGCTCCAAAACCATATAGTTTCTCTCCATCACCTGAATCTCTGATCCTGCTGAAGGCACATACCTTACATACCTACACGTACCTTTCATGATGGTTTCTAATTAGTCTCTACCTCCCTTTGGGTCATGGGTAATCTGCAGGTACCTGTTGTCTGCTTCACACAAGAAAAGGAACCACTCCTTTTCCCCTTCACAAAGTTTGCCTCCTAGTCACCATCAGTTGCGACCGTTGTTGCCTACAAATAAGATAAAGCTAAAAAATTAATTCATCCTCTCATTAAAAAAGGGCATAAGGCACTTTTAAATTCCACTCATCACTTTTTGTGCAGATAATGCACAAAATGGTATATTTAGTACTAAATACCAAGTCACGTGTATGGGAACCAAGGCCTTACTTATTGTTGTTTATCAAAACTTCCATTATGTATTTAATTGTTGAGAATATTAAGCCTGGCTGTTAACATGTTTTTATTATAATCCTGGGGACATTTTTTAATTTTTCAGAAAAGGCTAAGGCATCTTTATTGAGGTTTATTTTTTTTATGCAGGAAAAACTGAGTAATTTTCAGAAAGAACTCATGCTGATACACTTTAAGTGAAGCATCAACATTTATTGTAGTTCTGTGTGCTTCAGCTATATTTCTGCTAAATAGCCCCAAGTCCCCTCTGACGCTGATGTATTAAACGTCTACAGTGAATTTGAATTTGCAAAAGCAGAAATGCTGTCACTAGACTGCCACCTGCTGTCTAATCAGAGCACCACTAGATGAGTAAGGCTCAGGTCGCATTAACTCGCCTGGAGTCTCCCCCCACACTCCCCACACCCCCAAACTTGGAACCAAAGCATCTCAAACTCCTCAACTTGGCCTGCACGGCCCCTTATCAGGGACCAACTGCTAACAAACATTATTGTCTGGGTACAAGCCAAAGGACAAAACTGTACAGCGCTGCAGGGGGAGGAGGGGAGGTGGGAAGCACTTGTACTATAAAGTCAAAGGGCTGCACATGTGGGCCCACACTGACAACAGAGACTGTAGACCGACGCTTCTGCGCTCCTGCGCGAATCTCCGAGGACTCTCGCTGAAACGCTCTGAGGGATACACGCTCGTTTTCTCACCTCTGAGGGATTATTCATTTTCTTCAGCACTACTTTACTGCAAACTATGGATATATACGTTTGGATTTCCGTGTTATCAGTGATGTACTCCTGGATTTCCTCCACAGGTAACTTTTGCGAGATTTTTTCCAACCACTTGTAAACTTAATTTTACGTAAATTCCGTAAACACCGAGCAAACCACTCACCATGCTGAGTGAAAGCAAATCAAATCAAAAACATCCCCAGCCTGCAGTTATGCAGATTAGTCTCAACTTCTCTTTAGTTTAATAGCTTGTAGATTGTGTTTTGATAACGACGCTGTAATTACAGTCCTGTCGGCCCCCGCCGGAGACGCGCTCACTGCCTCCACCGTCAAAGAGGGGCGCCATGTGCGGACCAAACGCTGTTCCTGCGCATCGTTCCAGGACAAGGAGTGCGTCTATTTCTGCCACCTGGACATCATATGGGTCAACACACCTGAGTAAGTATTTTTAAGTGTGGTTAGTGGTCTCCAGCAGCGTGTAAACACGTGTAAAGAGAAAGTAAATCGCTTAGATTGATGTTTGACGAAGTTTTGCGATAAATGATGCGTTTTTACTCTCTTTAAGCAATCTCCGATTATTTGTATTTTTGCACGTGAAAGCGAAACAACAAAATTGAATCGCATTCAACAGTCTTCTGATATGTTTTTAAGCATGTTTAGTTTTCAGTTTTTGACTCTTTTAGTTTTATGATTCTAACTGTGTCTCTGTCGCATCCAGGCGCGTGGTCTCGTACGGACTCGGCAACGCTCCGCGGACGCGGCGCGCGCTCGCGGACTCCAGCGCACCCAGGAGCGTAGCTCGCTGCCAGTGTGTCCGGGAAAACGACAACACCTGCCTGAACTTCTGCCGGCCTGAAAACCGCCTCAGGTGCGCTTCACACAGCCAAAGCATATTTACTGACAGTGACACCAAAAGACGCTCCCAGTCTGTCGTTCTGCATTGTCTCCATCACATGTGGCGACAGGTTTTGTGTAGAAAATGAATAACTGAAATGTGATCCTGTTCTCATCGCGTGTTTCTGCTCCCGCTCTCAGGTATGAGACAACGGCCGACGTGGTGATTCGCTCCCCCGGGGGCGACGACGGTGCTGGGGCGCAGCGCAAACACAAGCTGGCAGCAGACACGGACAGGATTAAGAGGTAAAACAACACGCTTGCACTAAAGAGGGATAAACGCCGCAGTATTTGCAAAATAAAGTGGCAATTACAACCAGGGACATTAAAAGGATTTTTTTTTAAATAGGGAGGGACTGGAAGGACAAAGAACAAGAAGAAAGAAATCAAAATATTTGATTTGAAATCTATAGAGGGCATTGTTCTCATGCTCCCATGTGGCCCTGTGCAATAACACAGGACAAAGTGGCACAGTGGAAACAAGCATTTGATCTCTTTACTTAAGAAAAAGTCACAATCTTACTTAACATTCTCAAGGTTTTAGCATCAAAATATACTCAAAGTAAAGTACTTCCTACACAGAATCATATATATGATACTGTGGGTAATAATTCTTGTTTGTTACTTCATCCTGCAGCTGGTGATGATTTTAAATCATTTAAATACTTCTGGGTATATTAATTTATAATAACAGCAACATTTCTTAGTTGATTCATATTTAAAAATCACCATTAGTTAAATTAAAGCTTTGAAAAAAATGACTAAATAGAGTAAATAGTACTATATTTGTATTAAAATGTAGTGGAGTAGAAGTAAAAAGCTGTAGATACATAATTAAAAGTGCTTTAACACTCTTGTCCAATTCTAGTCCAATAGCACTTTTGATGCTGGTGGGGCAGCAGGGGGCCGTGCACCACCCCATGGCCACCCTCTATACTCGCCCCTGTACAACCTCACAGCAACACGAGGTCCCTTTGTAGCGTGAAATATGTCAGCTCTTGTGAGCGTAACACCCGTGAGCCTGCAGGATAAAAACAGCCAGCACATGTTCAGAAGCAGAAATTTAGAGATTAACCCCCAAGCGAGGAATTCCTTGAAACTTATGATGACTGAGCTGCGTTATAAATTCCATAAAACTCCTAGGATCGTGTGGAATTCACCTCGAGTAAGCTCTGCCACTTTACGTCGCTTAACTGTGGGAGCCGTGTGGGTAAAGGAGCCGCGTTCATGTGCTGTCATGTCTCAAAGTTTGCGGCGCCACATGTCTGTACTTTCTCACTTATTAATAATTGGAATCATAAAACTCCAAACATCCATCTTCTCGAACCACTCAGGAGTAACAACTTTGTTTTGAATGTGTTTGACTGACTGCTCCAATTCACACACCTGCTTTTTACATAATCTGCAAAGTCACCGGTTTGCATGTCTAATGGCTTTATGCCTTTATCTACAGGTTGAAGAACAACAGTGATAAACGGGCACCGCCTCCAGCGCTCAGGGCTGCGCTGAAAACCCGCCTGTTCCTGGAGAAGTGGAGGGTGAGACAGCACCACAGGGCGAGAGCATGGGAGGGCGAGAGCGTGGCCTCCTAAAGAAGACTGCTTTCCTCTGCACTGTCATACAGAGGCAGGAAGGGGCTTTAAACCTTCTCTAAAGCCAGCGGGGACTTCTGTGCAGCAGCGCCCCTCAGGAAGGAAGCGGGTAGCCCGCATAAGGCCGGCTATAACCGACTCCATGTCGGTTTCACGAGTGCAGCAGAGCAGAGAGCACAGACAGCTCGACCGGGCTGCACTTCTTCAGACGCCAGAATGACGTTAGAGACATTACAAGGAGTTCGGGTGAAAGGAGACAAGCTGAAAAAGAGAACTTGGCCACAATCTGCAAAAATCAAGGACACTCATTGATCTTTTCAGATGTCACGGTCAGAGACTCACGTTTATTGACTTTACAAACAAACAAACAAACAAACAAACAAAGCAAAAAAAAAACCAGACACCAAATAACATTTCATGAACCTGATATTACAGAGAGGAATGTACTCAAATCTTTCTAACAGAATAAAAAAAAAATCTCTGCTGTATATTCTGAAAATGCCATAGTTTCTTTTTCCTAGCACACAACTGCAATAACAGATCATCTGTCAGTAAAAGGGATTATGTGCCTTGTATCATGGCTTTGCTCGAGACATGTTTTCACTGACTGAAACTGTATTTACCTAACAGGGTGTCTCCTGTGTGTCAGCTGCTGGGAGCCTTTTTTTTGTATTCCAGATGTTATCACTGATTTCTTGCCATTCACTCATCATAATTTATGTTTTCAGTAACTTTGTTGCTTACATGTGCTGCTCTCTATTTATTTATCATTTTTACACATTGTAATTAGATGGCCATATTGGTCGATCCTTTGTTTGTTTGGTTTGTCATTTCTGCGAAATGATTGGTCGCCAACGTGCCGAATTCTGGGCAAACTTTAATAAATTTGATACGTTTATTTAAAAGCGACGGATCGGCTCCTTCATTTTTTGTCACGTCAAAGGTTCATTTTCCGCTGAAGAACGAATGAATGTGGGATTAAAGTTTCTGAACTGGGACGAAAGCTGCATGTGTTCAGTATGCAGGGCTTTAAGTTGGTAAATAAAAAAAGGGAAAGTGTGAGCAACAAGATAAAGACAGACAAACTGAGAGGTAACGAGAAAGTGCAGGCAAAGAGCAGTCAAACGCAGCTAAACATGGCCTTTCATCTCGGCAACAAACCTGTGTGTACAGTGCAATTTCTAAACAAGCTGAAAGTGGACGTCGGGTTTCTTCCATCAGCTCGCACATCCAGCACGCGGTTTATGTTCAACCCTGTAAGATGTGTCTTTTATGTATCCACCTCAAAGTTTCCACATTTTACCACCAAGTGACTCAGCAAAGTACAGCGCGTGTCACTCTTATGTAGTTCTCATTCCAACCTGCCACGACCTCCCGGCTCACCTTTAATGATCATTACACATACAGGTCATTACGTACGCTTGCTGTCTCCTCGTCGACCTTTACCACTCCTCCTCCTCCAGGGGCAGCTGTTCTCCTCTCAGGAGCTTCCGTGCATATCTTTTAATTTAATCTTGGCTCGCGAGTCAACTTCGTTTTATTTCAGTAAATCATTCATCCAGCTATTATCACTGCTGCAAAAAGAAACCCTAGAGCCATGGAAATGTCAGCTTTGAAGGAATTAAGAGAAATTAGTGTATGAACTTCTGGGCTAGTACTGATACTGACATGAGACTGATATTTGACATTTTAAAGTTTCAGAGTTCTTCAGCTCTTCGTTACAGTATTTTTAAACATTTAGCATGACCAAAATTGACTTGACACAAATAGGGTAAAAAGAAGGGTACACCCCTACACCCCTGCGCAGGTTGCTAGTCTATAGCAGGGGTAACACAGGAATGAACCCAACATCCATGTCTTCAGACTGTGGCAGGAAAAATTCAACTGAAAAAGACCTGTTACCACAGATTTTTAAGCCCAGCTCCTGTATAATTTGGAATACTTTAGCTGTTTATCCCCATTTCCTTTAATCAAAAATGGGTTCATGACAGCCACCTTTACCCCTCAGTGAACATCTGAAGGGCCGGACACATCGCTCAGGTCCTCTGCCTGGTCTTTTCGCGATTTGCATGATTTGATCTTTATTTGATGTAAATAGTTTTTTTTTAGGTCTGTCCTCTTTTCGATCTCTACTAATCCAGTTTCCTCAAATTTTTTAAAGACACACTGCACACCATGCAGATATATGCATATAAGTGTTTGAAATCACGTTTTTGGTACAAAACAACAGGTTGCTAGTAAACAAAGCACTTAAAGATACAGTTTAAAATTGGTTCTTTCTTTGTTGTCTGTTACGTTTAGACACAACGCTGCTTCACCCCTTGACTTAGGTCTGCAGACTCCTTGGAAGGAAAGTATAAAGAAATGATGGGGAGCTCAAGACTTTTGAACAGCATTGTATAAAGTCATTCGGGCTAAAAACATGCAGGAAAATTAATGCTAATTGACAAAAAGCAACATTTCAGCCCATCTTTACTCACTTTCACGACATGTTAAAGTGACATGATGATAAAATGTAGCTTCATTAACATCCTAAACTTATAGTTTAAAAAAACGTACCTGATTTTTTCCACATTTTGTCGATTACCTCTGGAATGACCCTGTAACCTGACGCCACATATGCATATGCATGCATTAAACTCAGTAACGAAGCAAAACTTTGCTTCGTTACACCATAAGCTTCACAGTAATACTGGACAGGACTCACAAAAACAGCTAAACCTACAGTTATATCATACATTAAAGATCTCCAAGCACTTATTCTTGCAAAGCAGAGATTAAAACGGCGTGAATCTGCTGGATTAATCTGTCAGACATGTCCCTGCTCTTTAATGAACGTGATACAAGTTGTTCTTGGTTCGGCTCAAACACTGGCATGCCCAGATTGTTCCGCCATCACTCATCGGAGAGCTGCTTGAACTAGCAGCTAAAAAACAATCCAATGCAAATTGGGTGAAAAGTCTTATCTATCCAGCCCATTTAGCAAACAAATCCGCAGTGGTTTCTGTGCCTCGGGCGTGCTGTAAGAAACACTGCTGTGTCCTCCCGCGCTCTGAGTCCAATCATAACAATGCTGAAGTCACATTTTCCACACAGACCTACTGTTTGTTTGCAAAACAATTTGGAGGCATGTCTGCTGCAGGAGACAGTCAGGACCAAAGATTCAGACAATAATGAGAAAGTTTAGATGACATGCAAAAAAGCTGGACTTAATCCCAGGTGCAGTGGTCAGCGCAGCCAAACAAAAATCCTGTTAATGGAAGCAGAAGCATGGATATGTCTCTGTGAAATAGAAGTACTAATGTGCAGACAAAATAGGCTTACATCTCTGACGCTACAGGCCCTGGTTAGCAGGAAGCAACAATATATGCAAAAAAAAACAACAAATGAAAGAGCACAGCAGCAAAGCTTAGGTTTAAAAAGCTCAATTTGAACAAACCACAAGACTTCTGGAACAATGTTTTAGACAGACGAGACAAAAGCCAAGATCTTTGGCCATAATGCAGTGCAGCATCACAGTTGGAGAAAACCAAACACAGCAAATCAGCAAGCACAACATAAATTAAGCACGGTGGTGGAGGTGTGATGATTTGGGCTCATTTTGCAGCCACGAAGAACTCGTCTGTATACCAAAGCACTCTCAAGTCCCAGCAACAAATCTACAACAAAATGTTTGAAAAAGAAGGTGTTGCCAAAGTCCAGACATCGCCTCGACTGAAATACTGTGGGAGGACCTGACGAGAGCTGTGGATATGTGATTACCTGAAACAAAGATAACAATGTAAAGAAGACTGGGCCAAAATTCCTCCACAATAATGTGACAAACTGATAAAGTCATAAAGAAAACAATTTGTTCAAGTCATTGCTGCTAAAAGTGGTTCCACTAGCTACTGAATCCTGGGGTGTACTTAGTTTTTCACACACCGCATTCTTGCTTAGCTTTGGGTAAATAAATATTGACACACTGTCATATTTCCTGTATTGTTGTTCATCTGAGGCAGTATTTACCTAATCTTAAGACCTGCTAAGGGCTAGATCATTTTTACCTACCTTTGAGCTAAAAATTAATTTTGAAAGACAGACGTGGCCAAACCAGCAGCTGTACAAACTCTCAGCATATTAAAAATGGAACAAATACAATGAAACTCAGCATATATGCAGACAGCTACAACAAAAAACACACGCTGTAACAACCGCAGGCCTCTTTTACCACAGTCTTTAAATTCAACAATAAGCGTGTTTAACTTTAGATTAAGTTAAGATCTCATGCGGTGAGGTGAGCAATATCTGAATGCTTCTTCCACAGGTGAAAATGAACAATAACAGCAATCCATTAAGGCATTCTTCTACATGCTCAGTCAGGTTAACGAATGTAATCCATGACATAAAGGTGATGCACAACATCAGTGTTGGGTGGTGGCAGAAGGATTTGGATTTTGTAGTTGTGTAAAAGTGGCTACATCACAGCTCAGAAGGAAATTAACTGGAATTAAAATGTATTTAATCGTCTTTAAGTATTGGTATGTACGTGGCCGTCGTTAAAACATAAACTTAAATTCTTATTACATTAATGCTGCGGTTGGTAAAAATGGAGTAAGGTAAAGTAGTAAAGTAGTAAGCTCACCGTATGTTTTGATGGTAAGATAACGCTATGGAAAAATCAAGTGCTAAAGTATTGACAATATAAATATTAACAGACTTCTGCTGAAAAAAATGTTATATCACTTTGGCTCTTTTACAACAGTGACTGTACAGTTTGTTGTCAGATTACTTTTATCAGCGTGATTGTTGCATGTTTACTTTTATGACTCTGTTCTTATCTCCTCAGCCTTTAAATGCCCTCGATTTTACACCATGAGTCAGGTGTAGCTTTATTAAGTTTTCAGGCCTGCAGGATAATTGCTAAAAGGAGATGCCTCACTGTACCTGCACACTGATCAGGTTAACAGCATGCCAACGGACAGGGGGGTCTGAACACAATGGCACTGAGTCTGTGCTATGCAGCTCTGTGCAGAGAACTCCCCTGAGACATTAGCTTTTGGCATAACTCATTAGTCTATTCAATAGAGCGAGCACAACATAATAGCCCATTACACGTGAAGGAATCTCCTCAACTCGACAGGAATTCTCGAGCGCGGGAGCCGAACAATAGGAACCTGTGCGAGGAACGTCTGGGCAGGGCACGGTGGCCTCTGCTTCTGACGTGTGCCCAACGCTTGGCTCTCCCTCCACACGCCCTGTTTTTCCAACCAACACTCCCAGGTGTGCGAAAGCATCACGAAACTCGGCTGCGGCCCCACCAGAGCAGATTAATTACCCTGGCTGCCTGAGCCAAACTCAGTGTTTGGCTGAGAAGGTTATCAGGAGTGGGCTGCTGGATGATGGAGCAAATGAAACCAGTGTGGGAGGTTGAGGCTGAGGATTCAGGGTTGGGTTTGTAGTGGAAGATGTTGGCCTGTGAGGGTGAGACTGGAAACTGGCATGCTGAAGTGAGTCTCGATTTGTCATCACATCTTGGCGAGGAGGCCTGACACACTTGGGCTGATTATTGGTATCTCTCAGCACTCCTGTAATCCCACTCTTAGTCCTGCCTGACCCTCCCTGCCTGGCAGGAGCACGACAAACACTGAGGAGCATTAGAGGAATATCCCTGAGATATTCTGAAAATGCTCTGCTGCTGACAAGTATGTTTGTGGGGATGAGATGAGTCGGCACTTATACCTCTGCTCTTCCATCACGGCTTTATTTAACCGTGCTGCGCCTGTCTCACAGTGTCACACACATTTGAGGAGGAATGCTCAGAACGCAAAGAATTATACACAAACTTTCAGAAACCAGCCTCGGTGTGAACTCCAGTGTATAAAATTAAATCAGTCAAAGTCAGCAGGCGATGAAAAACAGAT